CTTAGATCTGAGTGGACTGTTCTTTAAAATGAGACTCCCAGGAGCAATAAATATGACCATTAGAAGTATTGTTTTAAAACATGTGGAAAGCATGAAGAATCTGACTGTTTTGAATATGGTAAGCAAGTGTAGTGATGAAATTTTGCACATTGTCAGCCAGAGCTGCAAAGGCATTGTTGATATCAATGTTTCCATCTCAGATTTAGTCACAGATGCTGGACTAAAAGCTTTGGGTGTAGGATGCCCAAAATTAGAAAAACTTGGCATATACAAATGCTGGGAAGTGACGACAGAAGGCATAGAGCATGTTCTTCGGCATTCAAAGAACTTACAGAGGCTTCAGAGTGACCAGTTGGGATCCGTTTTGATCAACAAGTTTTACAAGTCAGATACTGAATTCAAGTTAACACATTTTGAACAAACTCAGGTAAATTCTTATTATATATGTTGTGATGACTTTGATTCACATTAGTAGAAATCATAACACGCTCTGATGAAAAATCCAGTGATTCATATATTCATAAAACTTATTCATTCTTAATAATTCCACTTTTGTATTTTTATTTCAGACACTGTTTGAGCCCCTTGAAGAGGAGATAGCGTGGGTGGGCAGAGCCTGTCCGGACTTAGAATCTGCCAGTCTTTTTTTGGATGATGAAAGTCTTGCTCTGCTGCCTAAACTGGGTGATGTTAAGTAGGTTATCCTAGCAAAATGTATTTAGTCCAATTATTCCTTCCTTTGCTCCATTTAAGAAAGCATCATGACTAGAAAAGCAGTTGAAAGGTTAACTCTTTGAAATAGTAAACTTCACAATTGGTTTCATTCATTTTGAAGGCAAATGTTTGAAAAGATACAGTAATTAGCCTAAATGCAAAATGTAGAAGGAAAACTTCATGGACATTCATTCAACCAGATGAGTAAGCTGAGTGTTTTGTAAAATACTGCATGTAAATACATGACTTATTTTCAGAGTATTAGAAGTTGAAACATCAGCAGTACTAGGTAAAGGGTTCGTAAAAGCTGTGACAAGTTTAGGACATTGTCTTACAACCCTGCAGCTCAACTGTAAGCATACATTGGATCCCCATTGATTTTTATGACCCACTTTTTTTTTTTTTTGCTCTCTCTCTCTCTCTCTCTCTCTCTCTCTCTCTCTCTCTCTCTCTCTCTCTCTCTCTCTCTCTCTCTCTCTCTCTCTCTCTCTCTCTCTCTCTCTCTCTCTCTGCCTCTCCTCCCTCCCCTGTCCCTCCTTTTCTTCCTCTCCCTCTCCCAAACTCTCACTGCCTTTTTATGTCTTTCCCCACTGTCAACTTAAATCCCTACTTTTCTGTCCGATACAGCATATTGTAACAGAAATATGAAAAACAAAGAAACTCATTTCTTGTAAGAGCTGTCTAACCACCTGTTGTTCCATTTTGCATAACAGGTGATGATGTAAGTCAAGAGAAACTAGTGCTTTTGGGAAAGCAGTGCCCTCACTTGACCACTTTGCACATCACCACAGCCACAGTCGAAGGAGATGAAAGACTGCTAAACCCAGGCCATCTGTTCTCATCTCTCACCTCACTGCACCTCCAAGTTTGGAAAGAAGCTGTTATAAGTAGTATGTCATGAGGAGTATATCTTGTATTAGATGCCATATAGTAGGCTTCTTTTGATTTTGATTTTTTTTTTTTTTCTTCTTCTTTTTGTAATATGATTTTTTTCCTTACAGTGAACAATCTTAAATAGAAAGCAAAACCTGGAAATAGTTATAAACCTAGTTCATCAAAATTTTGTTGCACTGGAAAACCGTAAAGACTGATTATTATTAGTAGAATAACTTATTTTGAATTTTCAATAGGGGATCTTTTCAGTTGTTTGACAAATAGATTATTGAAATTTTTATTTGTTTAAAAGTACTCCACAGTAGTTTCAGAAGCCTTTGAAAATGACAATAAAGTTACATATAATTTATTTGCTCTGCATTTCTAGTTTTAATGTGATTTTTTTTTTTTATTATCCATTTTTCTACAGATGAATGTGTGGAGTTTTTCCTTCTGTGGTGTTTCAAGCTCGAATCTCTTGTACTGAAAGCAGAGGTTGAATTTCTGACTGATCAGTACTTAAATAGAATTCTTCTCGCCAACCCTCTGAAGCAAGCAAAGCGTATTATCATTGCATCTGATAAGCACGTAAGTAGATTTAGTAAATGTTATGGTTTTTATTATTATTGTTGTTGTTATCAATGCTGTTGTTTTATTGTTATTATTAGACTAATATTTTTTTGTAAGTATTTTAGTGTTTAGCTATATTTATTCTAGTGCAAGTGCAAAAACTGGGCTTTGCAAATATATTTGTTTAATTTTGTATGTGTTTGCTTTATATTTAATTTTTAATTATGATCTGTTACATAAGGGTGATTAGTTATTTTTGTTTTAAGAGAAGTAACCAATATAAATTACTTTTATGTTTAGAGTGGTGGATTAGATTTGTTTCAAGCTATATCACTGATGCATATATGATTATAATTCAGTAAAATTAAGTATTTTATGAGATGAAAATGAAATAGTGAAAAAAAGTATTTGTGTTTATAAAAGTTTGCCTTTATTTGTACATACAGATTTCTTGATTATAAGAAAAAGAAAAAAACATATCTTTCAAGACATTGTTTTCTTAGCCCTTTGCAAAAGGAAAATAATGAAAAATTAATAAATAAGTAAACTATTACTGGTGCTAAATATGGCAAAATAATTAAGTAAACCATTACAGGTACCCCTCACATATGCAAGTGTTCACCGCCTGATTGCTTCCTGCCCGAACCTCGACAACCTTGGGGTGTCGTCGTGGAATCTCACCGAAGAGGAATTCTTCCAAATTCGTGATGATGCCAAGAAAAATAACTATAATCTGATGATCTCATAGTGTGTGGGAAGACTGTCCACTTGGTTTCAAATAAAAAGGATCAGATTTCAACTTTAACATGTGTAACTGTAACTTAGTCCCACACCATTGATCTCTCTCTCTCTCTCTCTCTTTTTTTTTTTTTTTTTTTTTTGAGTGCACTGTATTTTCAATTTTTTGATAAAATGAAAGAAAAGTGGCAAATAGGTCTGTTTGTTTTTGGTATTTCATGTTCACAACAGCTGTACAAGATAAGCACTGCTCAATAAAATATTTTATTATATTTTTCTGATGTGTATTTTAGTAGCAGGTGAAGCAGCTAAGGTAGATTTCATGTATAAATATTTGGACAGCAGTTAGTAATCTTGTAAACCATGTATGAACTGCAAGATACGCTGCACTTTGCTTCACAGTAGCTTTGTAGTATAATGTAATAGAAAAAAGGATACAGAAAAGGAGATTACAAAATGAAGAGATTTCATTGTGACATCTGCAGAAAAGGGTATTACTAAGAATGGAGAACTTCACAGAGATGTATGACACCATTTTTTTATTATATCTTGGTCAGAAATGTTTATGATGAAGATTTAATTTCGCACATCAAATATATCTCATGCTCTATGAAATTATTCATTCTCATTCATAACTTTTTCTACAGAGTATGCATAGGAGGGATAAACTGAAGTGGCTTTCTAATGAATGGACTGACTTCAAGGAGTAACAACACTGTTATTTGTTTTATGGTACAAATTATATATTCGCTTATCAAAAGTTCATGTCAGATGTACAAATGAATGGGATAGTGCTGCTGGAAAACTCCCAAATTCAAAGAGTAGCTTACCATACAACAACATAATGTACACTTTCATGCTTGTGAAAATGAAATCACAAGCTGAGGTACAGGTTGGTTAGGGATTCGTTCCATAGATCTGTTTGCATAAATAATGTAAATAATTACAAACTGTTAGACTAATAATTTAGTGGAAGAATAGAATAAGGTGCCTATATTTTCTATTTGTAAATTATAAATTTTATGAACTGTTACCAAGGGAAACATGTAAGAGGAAACAGATACATGGATTTATGAGTTATTTCCTGTTAGTTTTGTGTGTACATATTGTATATGTATATAAGACAAAATTCTTTACACAAAGGAATTAGTTTGCATTTTAAATGATGACATTTTGAATACAATTGTTTGTCTCTTTAGTCCCTTTTATGTGACAGATTTTAGAATAGGAATTTTAATTATAATAAATCATAATGTATTACTTGGTTTCATTTTCCAATTGTAGATCAATATTCTCTAATAGCTAAAAAAAAAAAAAAAATTGATGTCTTGGAACATAAATTATGCTATTTTCAATGTTAAACTAATGCAATGTTTTAAAGTCTAATAATATTGAAAATAATACCAAAGTAAATAATATACAGACATGATTATCATCTCTACTTTCAATCACATTACAGATATCAATAGATGCCAATAGTTTAACAACAGAGCATGGCTTATAAATCTTATATGCAATACATTATACCACAACAGTAAATGTACCAGGTTTATGAAGATGTTGTCCAAGTGATAGGAAAGAAAAGGAACAAAGTTTTATGTGTACCATTGCCTTTTTTTCTGTTTCTCTTGATTTCATGATGCTAATAATTGTGATCTCTACATTGACAGCTGTATTGATTGTGCATATGAAGAGCTTTAATATGTGGGTTATATGATGTTATATCTTGCTATCATATATAAACAAGAATGGTAAATAATTTGTGCTCTTTTTTATTACAAGTCATATCTGTTAATATCAGTTCTACTTCAAAAATGGTGTGAGAAGAATTTCCAGTCCATCTTCCATATATGAAAAACTCTTGAATACTAGTATCTTTGCTTCAATAATTTTGCAAACTGTTATGAACTAGAAATATCACATCATTTCAGGCATTTTAAACACAAGATGTCTCCCAAGACAAGGAGCTTGGTAAAGATCACTATATTTCATATTATTTGCTTTTGCCTATTCAGTAACATCTTAGAAGTCTAAGTTCCCTCACTCAATACCAAACAACTGCATATAAGGTTCCATCACTTATTCTGCAAAAGAAAAAGAAAAAGTGAAAAAAAAAATCTTTATTAAAATATATATCTTAATCTAATAATTCTAAGAAGTATCAGATGAACTTTCTTTATTAGCATATATAATTGGTATGTTCGATTTTCTTGTCACTATTAATACTGGTTACATAATACCTAGAACAGTTAGTTTTTGTGCCACTATATTGCTTATGGTTACAAGGTAATTCAAAGATTTTGTAACTGTGCTTTCTTACATGAGAAAATTGTGTCAAATCAAAATTTTCTTTAGTTCAGACAGGTACTAACACAATCTGTCCTTTCAGCTTCACTTCCCTCTCCAGTCTTTTCTATGTTCACCAAAGCATAATAAAACTTAATATTCTTTTTAAACATACAGTTACTTTTCACTTCATACAACAAGCACAAGTGTCTTATACAGCATCATTTCAACATTTAAAAAGTCCACTTCATTCCTTTTCATTTTTGGGTTCCTTTTTAAGCCACTTGGCAAGAGGCGAAGGCTTCACCTCCTTTTTGACATTGGCTGCTTGACTTTCTTTCTTAATACTGTCTGGGGTTGTGGGTTCCTTCTTTATGCCACTCTGTTTGGGAGGAGCTTTGCTTAGCCATGAAGCCATCAGTTTGCTGCTGGCAGTCTCTTTAGGTTTTCTGTAAATAAAATGCAGAGACACAGTATCAGGATTTTGCCTTTCTTTTTTAGGCAGAAAATCATATGTATTAATCACTATTATTGCAAATAATCTATCAGTGTACATTAACAAGTAAAGCTATCAATTATTGCAGGTAATTTGTTACTACAAATAAAAACTATAAGAATGTACTCTGAAAAATTATATACATGGGGAAAAGGCTGTAAATACATAGCTATATGGTAACAGTTGCTATGAGTACCAAAGCCTGACAAGCCACCCACACCCACACACACAAAAGAGAGAGAGAGAGAGAGAGAGAGAGAGAGAGAGAGAGAGAGAGAGAGAGAGAGAGAGAGAGAGAGAGAGAGAGAGAGAGAGAGAGAGAGAGAGACAAATAAGTTATATAAAAATATTAATAAGGAACTTACTGATCAACGCTGGCTGGAGACATCAAATCCCCTTCTTGGTTGCGAGAGTTATTGACGCTTTTGGAGACTGGGTGCCAAGTCATTTCTGTGTCATTCTTCAAGTTTGCAAGAGCTTCTTTGTATCCCAAGCGGTTGTGGTCTAACCAGTCCTAATAAATTATAAAACATAAATATATATAACCACAAACTATTTTTCATTCCATTTCTTTGTGAGGGTCTATCCTTTTTGGCAAATATTTGGAATGGAATATTTCATATTGGCCTTTTCTTGCAAAACTGACTTTCACATAAAATGAGAATACAGAAAATAATCTCTGATAATAAAATGTGTCTTAATCATATAAAATGTAACATATATAATAAACTAACCTCAACATCCTGGTCAGTTTCCAAAATGGCAGGAACACGGTGATGAAGTTCACCAAATTTTTTCCCAGACTCCATGGTCACTACTGTGTAGCTCATCACTTCCTCCCCCTGAAAGAAGGTGTAATTCCATTTTCATTTATGTATTTACTTTTTTTCTTTATTTGAAAAAATCTAGCAATCTTCTTCACACTTAATCTTCTCTATTGGGTAAATATCATAATGAAAAGAAATACATTATATCATGATAATAATTTCATTCTTACAATCTTAAAATTTGACTAACATATTTTTAAAATATAGGGCAACAAGCAATAACTCAAAGAATAAAACTTATACATATATTGAATATAAGAATCAGAAATTTTTC